TGGAGGAGGCTGGTACAATTACAACATTTAAAAGGCATCTGGATGGGAATATGAATAACAAGTGTTAGAGGGACATAGGCCAAATGCTGGCATACAGGACTAGATTTATATAGGATACCTGGTTGGCATGGACAAGTTGGACCGAAGGGTCTGTTTCCATGCTGTACATCTCTAATGATGCTTTGACTTGGTTACCATAGAAATGCAATAAATGACATTCCTTTGCTATATTTGTGCAGTAGCTATGAAATACCATTAAGCGTACAAGTCCTGCCCTAATTTGCCTTTCCAAAATGCATTCAACATGATTTAATTTTTATGCAGCTAACAGTGCAACAGCACATCTGTGACAGTGGGCTAGAGTATCTCTGATGGGCAGAATGTTCTATTCCTGCTCCTATTTCTTATAATCTTATCAGCATCAAACTTTTGATTTTGTTATTTAGCAATGTGCCTGCCTTTGCCTGCAACTGCTGTAGCATTTGTGCAGAAACAACAAGGAGCAGCATTAGCCTCCCGCTGACTTTGAAAGCAAATAATGGTCTAGTATAATTTTCTGCCTGCCTCTGAATCTTGTTAGCACACATTTTGGTTACTTAGATTATACTTCAAAACTATTCAGCAATTCCCAAGTTCATTTCAGGACAGAATGCAATAAGTAACATACTTAATGCTATAAAAAAAGAGATGCTTATGAAAAAAGTACAGATAACAACGATCAACTTCCAATAAATTGTGCACACATTAAAGTAATTATATCTAGCATGCTAAACTTCAACTTTAATTAACAGGCGGAATTGATGAAAGCATTTAATAAACCTGGTAGCTTTAATAAGTGACTCCCAAAGGATACAGACATAAAGCACAGCCATGAAGAAATGAGGTATCACCCCAATATGAGCTCGTTTCTTCTTTTTAGTTTCGGTGGCTGTCCAATACAGTGCATCCAAAATATCTTGTCCAAAGGAAGAAAAGAGGCGATCTGCTACCTATGGAAAATCAGCCAGTGTTAACCGTAATGGAATATTGTCTACACTCAGACTTAGTAAAAATAAAATTCAATGATAGATGAATCACAAAACTTTAGTGCACAGGTACAGCAAGTGATGAAGTACAGGAAATATTGTCATTTAAGAATATAATGTAAGGAAGTCTTTGCTATATTTGCATAGGGCACTGCAACTCACATTTGAAGTACCGTACAGAATTTTGCTTTTATTTAAACAAAAAGGATCAAATTGCATTTGAAGCAATGCAGAGAAGGGTCAGCAGAGTGATTTCTTGGATGGAGGGTTGGTGTTACGAGCAAGTATTGTATCAATTGGGCTACATCTATTGAAGCCGGAAAAAAAAACATGAGGTGACCTTATTGAATGAAATAAAGATCCTGAGGACACTTGACAGAGTTGATGTTGAGTGGGTGTATCCCTTTCTGTGGGAGTTTAGAATTGACAAGAGAATAGGAAAATGTTTAAAAATATGCAATCTCCCATTCAAGATAGAAGAGATCTTCTTTTCAAGGTCATTGTTCTGTGGACCTGTCTTGACCAGAAAACAATGAGTCAGCAAATATGTTTCAGGACAAATTAGATAGGTTCTTGACTGACAAGGGAGTCAAAGGTTTTAGGGGCTGGACAAGAAAGTAGAGGATACAATTAGATCAGCCACGATCTTATCAAATGGCAGAGCAGGCTCCCTGGTCAAGTCCAACTCTTGTTCTCAACTTTTATGTTCCTACGTTATATTAAATATTTGTCACAATTAATACTTTGTATAAATACTAATAAAAAATAATAGAAATATTGAGCTGGATACTAATAGAGATAAAGGTCAAGTTAACTGCTGGAAAATTAAACAGAGTGGGCAAAGGAAAAACAGGTCCAATGAAGGTACAGCTTCAATGCATGCTAGTTAAAAAAATGATTGGTTTAGAGCAAAAATTAGTGTTTTAAAAAAAAGAAAAATGGCTGATAACAAATAGAGGGAGAGTACCTAAGATGATGTGGAGGAGTCAGTGACTGTTTTAGATTTAGATTTATTGCCACATGTATATAAAAATACCGTGAAAACTTTGTTTTGCATGCAAAACACAGACTGTTGCCATGCTCTGGCGCTCTTAAAACACTGATGTTTTATTGCATTAGAATCCATCTTTCCCTCTTCTTATTACCCTCCACATCGAGGGAGGATGCAAAACAAAAAAACAAAAGGGGACTAGACATTTTTTCTTTTTAAAAAAAAGCACTTGGAAAATGGACATAACACCAAATGACTAAACAATAGCAAATTTCACAGAAGTTTCCCAAAAAAGGGATACGTTACATATTCACAGGCAAATCGTATCATAGATACATTATGATGTTCATATTTTTAGGCAGGAGGGTTGTTTAGCTCAGTTGACTAGATGGCTCAGAGTGCAATGCAGAATGGCTTCAACAGGTTCAATCATTTGCACCGGTTGTGGTAATTCATGGAGGCCTACTCCTTACCTTGCCTCTTGGTCTAGAAATCAATCAGGTGTCACTCTCCATTAGAGGGAGATCTCTGTGGTTCTTTCTGGACTGTGGCTAACTATAATGTTATGGCAGAAATTAGTGAATGCTTAAGAAATGGTGTGGCTAATCAGACAGTGCTAAAATAGATTTGTAAACAACAACCTGTTCTGGTTTAATATTTATTTTCCTAGAAGATCACAGACAGAAGAAGTGAATGTGGTGGATGCTGTATGAAATGGACCAAAGGGTCTGTTTCCATGCTGCACAACTCTATGAATGTTTAAAATAAAAAAGACTTGGTGCAAAGATTAAGGAACATATCAAAGTTTCAACTCAGATATCCGTGAAATCTGGGTAGAACTTATTGAAATAGATTGTGCAAATTTTAAATGTATGATATATCACAGTGAAATCTCATTACCTGTGATCTTGTTTGTTGAATGAAAAGACATTTTGCCAGAAGATTTTATTGGTCACTAGATTACCCATGCCTTATGTGGGAATGACTCATTTGGGCTTACAGCACCTATTTACCAGATTGCAGCCAGAATTTCAGGCAACATTAATTCAATGCTTTTTCTTTAAAAAAATCCTGTTCACATCTGTTATGACACACCTCTGGAGCAGGTGGACTTGACCCTGTACTTTCTAGCTCAAAGATTGAAACAGTATCACATGGCCACAAGACCCTTATTAATCTAATGTTACATATATTTAGCTAAACTATTCAGATGTCTTACGACACATGCCTGGTTTAGGGGATTGTGTGGTGCTGGTGGTGGGACTTGAAACCAGAGCTACTGACACTATCACTGTGCCATAAGGAGGTCTGTTAATCTAACGTTAGTTATTTTCTATTCAACCTAACATTCAGAGACGTTACTACACACCTCTGGAGCAAGTAGGTTTTGAATCCAGGCCTCTCTATTTAGAGACAGGGACACTACCATTGCACCACAGGAGCCCTAATTAATGTCAATAACTGGCAGTTAATTGGAGTTGCATTTGTGTGTATTTCCCATGCTAATGATACAATTACTTTAAGGTCAAGTTTAAATCAGTCAAATTCAGCCAAATGATTTCAGAAGATATGATCAGCAGTGAACAGAAACAATCAGTTGACTGTTTCGTCAGCAACAATTATCTGAGTACATTTTATATTCACCTCAGATGAATATTCAAGTGGAAGCCCCACTGAATATATGCCAATTGATGTGCCAGTTTTGTTCAGGATGAAGAAAACAGGTTTGCTTGGAAATTCGGATGCAACTTCACGTTGGGAAAAACAGCACAGAAAAAAAAAAAATGCCTCGACTATCCGACTGCACACAAGGCCAGGAAGGAGAGAGGGACAGGAAGCCAGGGCAGGTGAGATCAAAAGCTAAAATAAATGAATTGATGAAAAGGGATAGATGTTCACTGAACACACTATTTGTCTTTCTGCACTAACAGCAGGCAGACTGGAGTATTCAACTTTTACCTTTAGTATAATGAAGTTTTATTTCACTGAATGATTTATCTATGGTTATTTGATCAGATTAAATGAAGACTAGTCCATGGCACTGCACAATTGTAAGGAGTTAGGGATCAAAGGGTATGGGGAGAAAACAGAACAAGAGTATTGAGTTGGATGACCAACTGTGATCATATTGAATGACAGAGCAGGCTGAAGGGGTTGAATGCCCTTTTCTTACTCCTATTTTCTGTGTCTATGAGTTTCATCAATAGTCTCATTCCATTGAACGGTGCACAAATCTTTTTATGAAGAAACTAATAGGACACAATGGAGTTATTCCAAGAAACAAGATAAACTGTTACTTAGAAAGTCTCAGATCAATCAAGGTTAGTTAGCATAGATTTATTAAGGAAAGACTGTGTCTGGCTCTGAATTTTTCTGAGGAAGTAACAAGGAGGGCTGTTGAGGGTATGCAATTAATGAAGCATATCATGAATTTTACTAAGACTTTTGCCATGGTCCCGAATGGCAGATTGATTTTTTTTAAAAATGGAGTCTACAGGAATGTAGCAAATTGGATACAAGACTGGTGACAGGAAACAATAACTGCTCATGGCTATTTTTGCAACAGGAAGGCTGTTTCCAGTGGAGTTCTGGAGATCTCTGGACAAGGTCGCCTGCTTGTTGTGATATACATTAAATGGTTCGAATGTAAATGTAGGAGGTATGATCAAGGTGGCTGCAGGTGACACAAAAATTGGTCATGCAACTGAAAGTAGAGAGAATAGGTGCAGACTACAGGAAGATAATCAATGACCTGGTCATATGGATAGATAAGTGACAAATGAAAATTCAAGGTATACAAATGCAATAGGATATATCTGAGGAGGACCAACAGCTAAGAGAATTCACTATAAATGGGACAATACTGAGAGCTGGAAAGGAAGTGAGAGGGGCAGACCTGTAAAGTGGCTAAGATGACGTAGTCCTTTCCTTTATTAGCCACAGTATAGAACATAGAGCAGGGAGGTTATGCTGGAACAGTATAAGTCATTACTTACTATTACTGAGTAATTATTACTGCAGTTCTGGTCACCTCATTATAGAACATATACAATTACACTAGAAAGTGTGTAGAAGAGATTTACAAAGATGTTACCAGGATTGGAAAAATGCAGCTATAAAGCAAACAATTGGAACAGAGATACTGAAGGAAGATTTGTTGAGATGTATAAAATTGATTGGCCTGATGCAGTGAGATCATGGACTAGGGGCAACAGATTTAAAAGAACTCTTTCTAACTTCTTGTGGCGTGCCTATAATTAACTCAATGACAATGATAAATTATAAACTTTATGTTGAATACTTGCATTCTTTACATCCTCCGGATGCTCTGGTTTCCTCCCACAGTCCAAAGATGTGCAGGTTAGGTGGACTGGCCACACTAAATTGCCCATAGTGTCCAAGGATGGATTAGCCACGGGAAATACAGGGGAATGGGTCTGGGTGGGATGCTCTTCAGAGGTTCAGTGTGGACTCAATGGGCCAAATGGCCTGCTTCTACATGTCAGGATTCTATGATCTATGATTAAGAAGTGATTAGCACAAATGAGAGATGAAGACTTATTCTTTTATCCAGAGAATGGCAGGGCCTGGAACTCACTGTCTGAAAAGGATGATAGAAGCAGAAACCTGGTGATTCATTTAAAAGGAGTCTGGAAACGCACTTTAAAATGCTGTGATCTGCAGTACTATATAGACCAGATATTGAAAACTGGGATTCAACTGAGTGGCTTTTTTTATTCAGTTTGCAAACACAATGGGCCAACTAGCTATTCTCAGTACCATAAACTTTGTGATTATATAAAAATACAGAAAACAAACAAAATTTGGAACACTAGTAATGAGACAAACCTAAAAGGATGACTATTCCTCTTTTGCATCAGGAGTATTAAGTTTAAGTTTGTAATCAAAACAAATTGGTATTATATTGGGTCAACAGAAGCAGCATAACTTGTTCCCCTCAATCTTAACTCCCCTAAAGATCACAGATGCAAAATCTCCTGGAGTATACAAATTAGATCTTGAAACAAATAAACTTTTAATTTAGATCAATCCAACAGAAAATTCTTACTTTATTTACATACCTCTAACATATTGTAGATGATGTAGAGTTTGATGACAGATTGTCCTCTAATGAGATGGTACATCATGGAATAATCCACGTAGTGCATCATAACAAAGCAGATGACCATTATAAGTGCCTTGAGTATGTCACATACCTGAGCAGGTTGTAGCAGCCGTCCATCGCTGAGAATACAATTAAACAACATTTATTTCCAAGACAGTCCACAAGTAGGCATTTTAGAAATAGTGAGGCTGTTCAGTAGTAATTAAAATAATCATTTATAAATAATTAATTACTCAACTATAAGCTAAACACATCAATTTAAAACCCAAATTATAACTTATTCAACAAGGTTCAACTTTTTCAAGATTGCAGGGAGATGATCACCACCTTTTCCAGGGCATTTAGGGATGCGCAATAAATGTTACCCTCGCCAGCGGTGCCAACAGCCCATGAAGGAATAAAATAAATGGCTTAAAAGGCAGTTCAGTGACTACTAATTGCTTGCAGCCTAATGTTATTATAGCTGTTCACCCCATGGAGAAGGGGAGAATCTTAATTAATTCCACTTTGCTTCTTTTGATAGTCCCCAGCAACACAAAGAATGCTTGCGACTTATAAATGCATTTCCCATGTACACCGTACTCCAGATGCAGTCTAAATTAAGCCTATTCACAGCTACAGTAATACTTTCCTTTTATTCTCTATTTCACCAACAGTCCACTTTTATATTTTCAAATCAACCTGTTTAAAGACATTATTATATACCTCTGGAACAGGTGGAACTTGAAATTGGGCCTCCAGGTTAAAAGGCTTTGTGGCTCACAAATAGGGATAGTACCACTAGCAGTCCAGATGCTTTTAAATCGACATGTTCAACCTAATCAGAGGTGTTACTATATACCTTGGGAGCAGGTGGCACTTGAAGTCAGGCCTTCTGGCTCAGAGGTAGGGGCACTACCACTACAGCACAAGATGCTCCTCCATGGCACAACTCCATTTGCTTCACTAATCATGGGCTGCAGCTGCATACTAACTAACCATATTCTTGCTTTATTTACATCCATCACTGTCTGCTGATCTCCATAAGTTTGAAATAATCAAACGTTGAGACTCAAAATGTCACAGCTTCAGAAGCTTCATAAAGCTGTATAGCTACTAGACCAATACAATGATGCTTAGCAGCTGACTGTAGAGGTCTGCATTTACTGTTGCACTATGTATAACTTAATAACAATTCATTTAGAGCTCAACAAATTATACAAACAATATAACACATTCTTTAAAAATAAATGTCTGTACATGAACGACCATTCTAATAATTAACTTTTATTACGGAAACTAAACATCAACAAATCAACTTCCTTAAATAAGTTATTTTCTTTTCTGAAAATACCTTCAAGATATTGCTCAGTTGGCAAAAATATGTTATGCCTCTTCTGCACTAAAGCCACTACAATCTGTCTTTGGTCTCGTAGTATCTCTCTTCAGCTCTTTATCACAATTCCATAGCATATGCTTTTCCTCCAACCATTTTATGCATTTATGTTTCACCAGTTTTCAGCTTCCTGCTTGGCTTCTCACATTTCATATTTCCTCTTTCACATATTCCCAACATTTGTCACAGTTTGCTATAGGCTTCCAGTAATCAAACTTGGACTAATAGCGACAAGCTGATTCTATGATTCATTAATTTGCTTTTGGAACTCAGTGTTGTCATTCCCGTATTTTTTTCACATTGCCTATTTAAAACACTTGTTATCAGAATATTGACCAGAGTTACAGGATCTCCTTCTTGGGAATGACTTCTCTGCTAACCATACAGCTTCCCTTCCACAGCCTTCTTTCCAGGTTTCCATTTTGCTCCAAATTGTCTGGAGTTGCATGACAAGACCACGCAAAAGTCCTGATACACACAATCTGAAATTACCAGGAAGGTGAAACTTCCAATGTGCTGATTTGGATAGCTTAGGACCTTGTGTAACTGATTTCAAAGTCACAGACTTGGGCCTGCTAAGCAGCGCTTAACATTTCCTGGTTAAGTACCCAGGGAAGATGTTTAATACCTGTTCTAGCTCTGGTTAGACAGCATAAGTGAACCGAACAGCAAAATCATCTCCCAACAATACCATCATCCTGCCCCAACCACCACCCCCCAATCTGACTACTTCCCTGATCCATAAAGACGAACCCATTCTCGACCCTTTCTTCCCTGAGCCAATCACCCCTTTAACTAACCCATTCACACTGAAAGTCATGCTTGTAATACAGCAACTAGGGGTGTGGAGGGTCCATTCTGTCTTTGTCTATTTTTTTGTACTCTGCAGTCTCCCCATTGGATATCTACACATTCCCATCAACAGGGATCATAAGTCACAGAAATATTTGCACGCAATATCAATGTATGTAGCATCAATTCTAGCTGTAAGATCTAGGCCATTATATCCTGCTCAACCTTCAGTCTTTCCAGGTCAATGTCTTTATCCTATACATAGAAATTTTTTACTTGTAGTGCTGCATATTTCAGGAAATCATCTTTAGCTGCCTGAACTTCCTAAAATTAGTTTGTTTTCTTTTTCTGTCAAGAGCTCTTTGTCTCTTTCAATGATGGAATTAAGAATTTTAATATCTGACTGCAACCTATTCATTCAGCTATGCATATTATCTCCCATAATGAATTAATCCAATTTGTATGTTGTGCGATTCTGGCACATTCCTGCTTCTGATCGGAAAGTACCTTTGAATGGGTGTATTACATTCAAGCTCGACTGCCGGCTCCGTTAACTCATTATTTTCAGAGATAATCTGCAGCTCTTCACAAACGCTAACATTCAGACTTGCAGGAACATGCATTTCTATGACATTGAATATATAGCTAACATATTTGCCTTCAAGTCATTCTGATTTGGATTCTTTCTAGTTATTAATCACAGATTCCCCCATTAGCATGGCACTACTCTATTTTTTGTACTGCTAAATATACAGGAAAATTTTCCTGGCGTTGTTTAAATAAGAGAATATTTCTCTGAACTCCAGCATCAAGCTTCAGATTTATGATGATCATGTGCTCATTTCTAGCCTCTTCCTGATCTGAATAGTTTTGTGAATTTCTTTTCTGAGAACTGCTACGAACAGCCATTCATGCAATTGTATGATGTTGTGTTGTGTCCTCAAACTTTTCGTTTTACAGGGTATGGATTTTTTGGTTTATTTTCCTACTCATTTGCTCTGTCTCCAGATGGCAACTCACTCACCATATTCTTTCCTTGTCCTGCATAACTTTTCCAAGAGTTCTGGATTTCCATTAGATGTGCAGTTTGATCCAAGCTTTCCTGTACCCACGACAGCATGTGATCAAGAATGCCTAAACATCTGTCTTTCGACCTGGTAGATGTTATTTTGTTGCTGTCTAACTGTATTGATCCTGTTACCCTTCTTTTTACTAAACTGAACATTTGCCAGTTACATCATTAGTATTTTCACCTGTGACTTCATGTGTTTTGACAGTGTCTATATCCTGCAATAATGTCCTTTCCAATCAATTCTTTTTGTACCTCAAGGTGTGCAGAATTTATATTTTCTGGCTATATTTTTCAATCATAAGAAATTGTCAACAGGTTCATCTGGTTTCTGCCTCAGGCATTTAAATCTGTATCAGTGGATCTAATCGTTTTACTATAGCAAGTGTGCACTGAATATTTCAAGAATTATGCCTGGGTTTTTACTTTTTCCTTGTCCATCTCAGTTATTAAATAAACGTAATCGTTTCTCTTCTGCCCACAGAAAGATGTAGTTGCTCTTTCCTCTTCACAAGTAACTGTTAGAAAACTACTGAATGCCTGTCTACAATTATTTAAGTTCATCAAAACCACCTACAACACCATCAGCCTCGCAAATGGATTGTAGTTACGCATTTGTTGTTGCAGCGGCATCTATTTATTTTTGCAAGACTTAGGTTTTCTCAATCCAGTTCAATATTAAATCCTTTTAAACATTTGGGTCTTAACTCACTGATGCCGTTGTTTTCTTATTCCCATAAATTCAAAATGGTCACATTTTTAGACTCAAAATACTGAAGTTTCAAAGAGTGTATAATCTGCAGCTGTCCACACGGCTCATAGTTATGCATTGTTATTGACACCTAATTGCAGTGCAGTAGTAAATCCAGCACCTAGTTGTATACCCACACAATTAGTTTCCAGTTCTTTATAAGTAGCACAACAAAGTAACATCAAAATTTTCCCTGTTTAGTCAACTCAAATAATAAGATCTGACCCTTCATTAATCTAATAGGCTTCAATCAAGTCCTTCAGAAATCTGGCTATTGAGCATCTCGATTCCGTATCACCAGCCAAAAGGTGACAAATTACATACAGTATCTATTACTCAGCCAAGGCATGATCTCTTCAGAGAACTGAATTTCCGGCTAGTATTTAACTGTTCCACCTAAAAGCTGAAACACATATTTACTTTGCAACAGCTTTGTGGCACTGATCATTGATCTTCAATGTTTTTGATCTATAATCGATACTGCAGATTTCAGCCAGCAACTTCACGTAATGCCTGGAATTTTTGCAGCAAAAACAAAAAAAAAGCTTGTTTACATTGAAAAGCATCAACCACGCATGGGCCTCTTCCCCAATGAATCTTCAGATTGTCATAACCATATTAAAGGTGCTTCCTCAAAGCATTCCATGACCTAAAATGTGTGCGTTAATAACTCCCTTTTAATTTGAGTGATTCATTTTAAAAATAATTAGCAAAGCTTTAGCCTTTAGATAAAGCAAAAATAGCTTATTGCAAAATTGCTTCTGTTAAGTAGAAATTATTACTTACTTAGATTGAAGTAGGTTAGAATAAAAGATGCTTATACGTTTGAAAGTAACAGTCTCTAAGTACATTAGAGGCCTGTTACCTTTTGAAGTTTCCCTTTCCAAAGTGGAGTCAGGCTCAGCCACTGTAATGATGTGACATGGGGCGGGGTGGGGGGCACTTGCAAGTTGTCTGAAGCCCTTTGTCGGTTGTTTTCTAAAAGCCTTTCTCCTTATGCTCGTTTTGTCAAGAACTCTCATCAATAACTCAAGTTTTTCCTGGGAGTTCTGTACACAAATGGCTGTTGTCAGCCAGCCAACAATCCAAATGGCTACCAAAATTCCAATAACTCATCATTCCAAAACAAAAATGGCAAGCTGGAATCCCTTTGAAGTATCTTCCTCACTCCATGCTATTGTCACAGAAGCTACAATTCTTCACACATTTGGAAGTTTCAATGGATATCCCCAAAGGCATTTTAATTTTAATAACTCTGACCTGTTCTGAAGATAAAAAAAATCTGAAGAGGTCTGAACAAACAGAAACATACCAAGATGTATGTCTATACCTTTGTTTGAAGTATTAAACTAAATTTAGCTTTGAAAGCAAAAAAAAAAACACTTAAAAACAGTTGCACTTAAAATCTATAATGTTAAAATGACCGGTCATAATATGCACTCTGTCTAAATTTACAACACCTATACATTTTTGTTTAACCTGCAATCTTGTTTCTGCAACAACTAATAGCATATGGTGCCTTTAATATAATGAAATGTTTCAAGGCAGGAATACTATAAAACAAGGTATGACACCAAGCCACATTAGGTCAGATATCCAAAAGCTTGATCAAAGAGATAAACTTTAAGGAGCGTGAAAGGAGGAAAGTGGGGGAGAGAAAGTGAGTCATGGGAGGATATTTCTGAGCTTGAGAGCTAGACGACTAAATGCACGGCCACTATTATTGATCAAAACTGGGTAAATGCAAAAGGCCTGATCTAGAGACATGCAAATATTTGATGGTTGCGAAGATGGAGGAGACTACAGAGATAGAGAGGAGCAAATCTTAGATTTTCAGAATTCTCGTTCTTGTTGCAAGTTGAGATATTCTTTGACAAGGAGCCAAGTCATGGGCAGATTTTTGAATAACCTCAACACTATGAAGGGTAGAAGACCAACCAGTAATGCATTGGAATGGTTGAGATTTGAAATAACAAAAGCATAAATTCACATGAATATTGAAGAAGAACAACTGGTCGAACACAGATCCAGGCAGTGACTGATCTCACGCGAAACTGATATTTAATAGCTTCCACTGTCTACACAAAGTAAAGATTTGCTTGTCAATCTCACAGCATATTACTTAGCACTGATCAAGTTTATTGACCACTATTGTCCACTAATTCTGTAACTTGTTTGAAATGTTTGATCAAGGTAGTGAACTTACTTTCCAGTGGTACTTTGAAATTCTCTTAAAAACCTCATGCTCATTCTCAACAAAAGTACCACGGATACCTAATTCTACCTTCCAGCAACAAAAGCTAAACAAATTGGCCTATATATTTCAATATGACTGCCTTTTTTAAAAAATATTAAAAGCACCTAGGGCTCTCTCCAGTTCATGGAAACAATCTCAGACCTCAGTGAACCGTTTGAAATAGATGAGTCAGTGACGTGTATCACAATCTCTTTTAGACAATGGGTATTGAAGCTTACATTCTTATGATTCTGGACTTGTAACCAAAAGGTACTTAGTTCAAATCCTTGACTATAAAGTACTTGAAGTCCAATTTTTGTAAACTGGTTGATTGACACTAGAAAGTGATCATTCAAGTTGCTGCATTGTTGCAAGTACCCAACTGGTTCATAGATGCCTTGTAAGAAATTGCATTTAACATTTGCATTCCCCAAAAAATCTGGTCAACTCCAGTTCCACACTACGTGCTTGACTTTTAATGCTCAATACATCTAAGGACAGATTACAAATATTGGTTGACTAATGTTACCTATATTCCAAGTATCAAATTAAAAGTAGGTGAAGTGATTATGGCCAGCAATCCAATTAGCTTCAGAAGCCTCAATTCTTGTAAGGAAAATGTTTGCATCTATTTTACACATTACACACGCTTATGGTGTTAGCAATATTGATAATGTGGATTATTTCCATTAGCGGAAACTGAAGCCAAGTCACCACTTAAACCTGAGTCATAGCTGCAGGCCCCACAGAATCCTACAATGGTTTTCTGGCTCTCAACTTCTTAAAAAAAAAAGTTATCATTGACACAACTACCCACTTCTTTTTTCAAAAAACTACGTTTTTAACAAAGCCAAAAAACAGATTTTGTTGCTTCTCCAATACCAGTCACTATTCTCCACAAAGAGGTTTACGTGGCAACTGGTGAAATACTTGAGCTTCAGTTTAACTTGTGTTGTATTTGTATGTCACAAAAAAGCTGCTTTGATTTTGTTATAGAATAGATAAGGTTGTTATGGGAACACAAACATAAGTTAAATTACAATAGACAGCTAGGCTCATTTGGTATTATACTTGCTGTTAGGTCAGTAAATCAAGTAATCAAGCCTCAACTTGAAACCGAATGTTAAAATGAAGATCCACCGATAATCAAACAGTGAATTCTGGAATTGTTTCATCCAGTATTTCTTGGGCACCTCCACCCCTTTCCCAAAACCAGGTTGACAGGTCAATTACTTTCACAGCATCCTGCTTTGCACAAGTTGGCAGGTGTGTTTGCCTAAATAGCATTACTTGACTATCATGAAACAGTTTAGAATATCCTAATAATGGTTTAGCATCAACGCATCATCCTCCGACACTTCCACCATCTGCAATCCGACCCCACCACCAAAGACATCTTTCCCTCCCCACCCTTATCTGCTTTCCAGAGGGACCACTCTCTCCGTGACTCCCTTGTCCGCTCCACACTCCCCTCCAGCTCCACCACACCCGGCACTTTTCCCTGCAACCGCAGGAAGTGCTACACCTGCCCCCATACCTCCTCCCTCACCCCCATCCCAGGCCCCAGGAAGACTTTCCACATCAAGCAGATGTTCACCTGCACATCTGCCAATGTGGTATAACTGCATCCGCTGTACCCGGTGTGGCTTCCTCTACATCGGGGAAACCAAGCGGAGGCTCGGGGACCGCTTTGCAGAACACCTACGCTCGGTTCGCAATAAACAACTGCACCTCCCAGTCGCGAACCATTTCAACTCCCCCTCCCATTCCTCAGACGACATGTCCATCCTGGGCCTCCTGCAGTGCCACAACGATGCCACCCGAAGGTTGCAGGAACAGCAACTCATATTCCGCTTGGGAACCCTGCAGCCCAATGGTATCAATGTGGATTTCACAAGCTTCAAAATCTCCCCTCCCCCTACCGCATCCCAAAACCAGTCCAGCTCGTCCCCGCCTCCCTAACCTGTTCTTCCTCCCACCTATCCCCTCCTCCCACCTCAAGCCACACCCCCATCTCCTACCGACTAACCTCATCCCGCCCCCTTGACCTGTCCGTCCTCCCTGGACTGACCTATCCCCTCCCTAATTCCCCACCTACACTCACCTTTACTGGCCCCATCCCCGCCTCTTTGACCTGTTTGTTTCCTCTCCACCTATCCTCTCCTCTATCCGCCTCCCACTCGCTCCCTATTTATTTCAGAACCCCCTTCCCCTCCCCCTTTTCTGATGAAGGGTCTAGGCCCGAAACGTCAGCCTTTCTGCTCCTATGATGCTGCTTGGCCTGCTGTGTTCATCCAGCCCTGCACCTTGTTGTCAGTGGTTTAGTTACAATTGCTTTCCTTCAAATTCAAGTTTAGGGCTTAGGTCAGAAAATGCTACTTCAGGCAATGAATAATCAAGAACTTGAATGGGGTTGTGAAAGCATAAACATGAATGGCCCATTGCTGTAAAAAGGACTAATTGGAGTTTTCCACAGAGAAATGACCAAAATGGACTGAATGGCCTTTTTCACATATATTTTGCAGGGAAGCAAAAGAACTAGCGAAGCTCAAGGCTAAACCCCTAATGTAATTGCAACTTTATAAAAAGTAAACTGCATAACTAAAGCAATAATTTATTTTCTTACTTTGGTGTGAAAACCCTTCCCCATACACCTTAGTCAAAAAGACTTTTTCCTGCCATTTTTAAATATGCACAAAAGTATATAAACAGTGGGCAGACAGAAATCTTAAACATGCATAGACACAATGTTTGCAACTGGTTTCAGCCACTCAACTGAGAGAGGTTGGTCTTAAAATTATTGAAATCTTGTCCTGATTCACTAAGAAGGGCAAACTTCTCAGCAAAGTTTTCAACAATCCTAAAACACTACCGGACAGACATTAGTGTACATATGAACTAAGGTCATATTTATAGACTACAGAATAGGGTAACCAATTATTTACAACATTTGTGTTTTCCAAATAATTAGTGTAATAGCAACATATAGCTTACCTTAAGCCACAACAAGGGAGAGTAATAAATCTCATTAGGGCTAGAAGGACTCGCAACGGTAGTAGAGTAAAGAGATATAAAAAGGCATCCAGGCAGAGAAAGAATCCAAAAAACATTAACTGAAAAAAAAAACAGAAAACATTTATCAAAGCATAAAACAGATCTCACAAAAAACTAACAGTATACAAATTTCGATGCGTTAGAAGATACATTTTAAAGTTTCAAAAATATAGACATGTTACATATGTTCCATTGATACAACAAATCAGAAAAAGGAGAAAACTATATGCCTATGTTCCTTTCTGTACTGATTTTGGTACAACAGACGCAATAGAAGCACATGCTGGAATGTTGAGACTTCCATTATTCTTTACAGAAGGGAAAATACACAAATTTCAGTAAACCAGGCATATTTGAGGGAAATGAGAAAAGGAACAGGGTGGGTCAGATTCATATACAAATTGTGAAAAACAGCTACCCATTAAGTATGGAATTCATTTTACCAAAGATCCTTTGAAAAACTTTTTCTTGACAGGAATTTATTCTCCGCATTCTATGATAGTTTGATCTCCAAAACAGGATTGGACACAGGATAATTGCATTTGCTCGAGACTCCTAAAAGACTACAATGGTATATTTCCAAAGATGTTTTGCTGCACATGAATCAAAATTCAAAAATCAAAAAATGCTCTCCATCTTGACAGAGGTAATTTGGTGATGAGCCACACACTGAGGGGCAATTGCCAAAATAATGTTCCGATCATTCCAAAATTGGGGGAAAAAAACTGCAAGAGAGTTTAGCAGCTGCATAGCTAGAAGTCTTCAGAAGACAACAGTCAATTTGTGCAAGAAGTGGGAATGAAACAGTTGAACAAATTTCTGCTCTCGAGGGAAAAATGAGACAAAGCTGATATACTGGACCTGCATTTGACTTCTAGGCAAACGTTATAACAAAACCTAGCCCATTTTGTAAGAAACAATGTGGTATGGATCTATCAGACTTGATATTACTTCACTCTAAGGTATCTTCAGAGGCACAGGTGTTGCACCGAAAGGGTAATCTATTGCTAGTGATATTAACATCCAAAATGAAACATACAAACTCTAACTCAATCACATGTAACAGAACCTTCAGCAGCTGGTAGTGAGTAAGCAAGGGCAATGAGCAAGAAAGGTCAGTTACGTAGGATGTCCACCCAAATTGGGTATAGAGAAGGACGACAGTTGATATAGTTGAACAAACCCTCCCTAAAATATTTTAAATAAAATGGTATCTTTGGAAAAGGTGGACTTATGAAGACGAGCCAGGCAGACAAAGAGATTCTTGAACCCAAAATAAATCTCAGGCTTTATTCAATGTAAATACATCTTTGCTTAACCTTAATTTCTCTCATGTTTGTGAGAACCTGATGCAAATGAAATAAATAATTCCTGCTTTACGATCTTTCATCCATAGTGTGTTCAAATCTCATGTTACATTTCTGACATAGCCAGCAGAATTTCACAATGGATGTTTCAAGTCAACAAGATGAACAAGGTTGAAAGGCACCTTGCCAATCTAAAGTTAAGAAGTTGAAACTGGCAATATCTATAAGAAAGGTTGAAGGTGCTCTTAGATTCAGGTACTGGAGGAGGATCTTTAGTCCAATTCCAGGTAGAGGCTCTCCACATGCATCCTTTTGACATTACAGGAAAAAGAAAGCAGTCCTCCTGGTCAGATGAATAGAAAGATGGGCAGATTTGGGGAAATATCTGTAAGGCATAATTATACAACAACTGAAGACTCGAATGAGGATGCACAGCTCCATGGCATCCATGTCCTCATGTAAGTGAATAGGTCAGATTTGTGATGGAACACGTGTGGGTAAGCCCACTAGAAAATAATAGGAAGAGGTACAGATGTTCAAAGAAGTCCACGGCAGATTTTGAGATACTGACAGAGGTTTTGGAAGCCTGCAGCAGCCAACACAGCTACCGCAGAGATCTTATGACTATAAGTAAACAAAGGAGTAAACCTGATTCCATAGCCCTGGAGCTGGAGAAGTTGCTTGATCACATTATCCTCCCGGATCCCCCCTATAAATGAACCATAGGCAGGATAATGAGGGACCAAGCTTTACAGCGACAAATCTCAATAAATTTTCTTTAAAGCATGGGATCACATCATCCTGATCGGGGGAAAGATTGGACTCTGAAGACCAAAGAAGAAGCTATCATCAGGGAGGTGACTATGGCAAAACAGACAGGGATGGAGATCTCAGGCTGAAGAGAAGGGGGAAAACAGATTGCTGCCCAGCATGCGCAGAACCAGGGTAAGCTTTGCCCAACAGATTCACCAAAGAAGCATCGGAATTGTGGCAGCGATGGATATTACAAACAAGACTGTCTTAAACAAAAACTGCATCAGGACTACCTGATATCTAGGGTTGATGAAACATTACAAGTTGTCAAAGGTGCAAAGTATTCTTGCAGTCTCAATTTGACACACGGTTGGAACTAGCCATCCATCACTGAACAGGACATTGAAAAGACGCTAATTCAAACAGGAGGTTGGGTACTTTATAAATGCAAAAGACTGCCATTTGAGATTCATAATCACCCTGCCACCATCATATGTGTGATAGATAAATTTTTTTAGCAACATTAATTTCTAGTCCCTCCTTGTGAATTTGAACAACATATTCATCTTTGACTTGACAGTCAAGTAGAACCCTTGCAAAACTCAACATTGTTTTAGCCTACATGGTGCAGTTTAACTTGCAAGTCAAAGCAGAGAAATGCCATCTTTTCTGGACAAGACATTACTCCCGAGGATGAGAAATCTGAGCAACAGAGTAGCAGCCCAGGCCCTGAACAGGAAGGAGTCTACATGGATCCTTTAGTCTAGTCTATTCACCCCATATACTTAAGCTATGACCCCTAGTTCTGGACTCTCCTACCATTGGAAATGTCCTTCCTGCATCTACCCCATCTAGCCCTATTTGAACTTTATAGGTTTCGATGAAAACCCCTTATTCTACTAAATGCCAGTGAATACAATCCTAACCTACTCAATCACACCTCATAAGACGGTCCTGCCATCTTAGGAAACAACTTCGTAAACCTTTGCTACACTCTATAGCAACAGCATCCTTCCTCAGATGAAGCAGCCAAAACTGCACACATTATTCTAGGTGTAGCCTCAGCAATGTCCTGTATAATTGCAGCAAGACATCTTTGTTCCTGTACTTCAGACATTAGGATTTGTGCAGAGTTTGAAACGTTTAAAAAAACAATCCACTCAGTTACTTCGAAACATCCACCACTCTTTGAGCAAGAGATCCAACGGGCCACTAAACCCATGCAGTTTTGATTCAAGATCAAGTATACATCAAACAAAAGTAATGCAAATGCTGATACCCTTATTTGGGAGGCTGATCACTGGAGGACGTTTACCCTTGCTTGGCTGACGTCATGCCCCATGCTCTAAGTCAAAGGCAGCAATCTGACCATGATTCCCTATAACATTTGGACTACAATCCAGCAGAGTGTCATCAATGCACTCATGACTGAAATCCAAAACAGTTCTAGATAGGTCGAGCAAGGTGTAGGTTTCCCTTTGCCATCTATCTCAGAACAGGACTTCAGACCAGTTTCAGCTGACCAACATGGATATCAGTAAACTGCACCATTACTGGAAGGCCTAACATCCACCAATGCAGCATCAATTGATTATGGAGTTCAAACAGTTAAGGTACTGGAAATCGATGAGGGAGGAGGATAGCAAGGAGAGAATTTGATAGCAGTTCATAATCAAACAAGACACATGATTGCCCTGACCAGAGAGTGGTGTTACTGGCTTGGGATAGTTGCTGTTATTGATGACTACAGTCAAAAATTGAGACGTGTACTTTGGCCAAAACAGGGGAGTGGCTTTACACCAATATGGGATCCTTGGTTGCCAAGAGACCTCTAGAGGGCCTTACAATGGATTTTCTGGTCCTTAATCCTTGAAGTAACAGAACTGAGCACACTCATACTCACAAACATCTTCACCAAGTTCACACAGCCATTCCCACCCATGATTCAAAGGCCTTAAGTATTAGCCAGATCATTAGTACCTGATTGATTTGTCTACTTTGATGTTCCATGTCAGATTCACATGATGAGCAGCACAACTTGAAGAGCAAGATCATCCAGGAGCTTCAAGACCTGTGGCATTGCCAAGAGCTGCTATAAATCAAAAGGTTAATGAACAGTGTGAGCTATTCAACTGCATTCTGCATGACTGTATGCACACCTTATCTCCCGAGAGGAAAAGAAAGAGTCATGGGTAACTTCCAGAGTGGGTTTATGCTTATTATAGCATCGTACACTCATCCACAGGCTATTCTCTACATTCTCTCTTCTTTGGAGAAGACCCAATCCTTCCCGTAGACCCTCTCCTTGAGCTCACATCACCTTCTGACAGAGACAGCCAGGTCAACAAGTGGATAGTTGGAACACTGCATGACGCAATGACATACTTAAGATAGCGTCCAAGAGGTGTGCAAGAGAAGCACGGAGAAGGACAACACCGATTGCAGGCTGACAGAACTACACTTCCATTCAGCACAAAAGGCATTCCTCCAAAATCAGAATACTGGGAGTCAGAATACAAGATGTGTGAGACTCTGAACCAGAGGCATTAAGAAGTTTGACACAGGTGGCCACAATTAAGCTGGTTTACCAAGAGCTGGAGGGCAACCTCCAAATATGGTTCACAGAGGGAAGTTGCTTGAGGCCAGCAATCTAGAAGAAATTGTGGAGGAAAGTAGCTCACTCAACAGTATGGAGGAGGTGTGAATATGTGATGGCTCAAATGGAGTTGGACAGCAATGTAGAATCTGAGTGATCTGTGGTTTGCAAATCAAGTGGGCACATTCAGAGTGGGGAGAACTACTCCCTTCCCTTTCGGAAAACGGCACAAGGATGACCTCTTGGGAGGTGGAAACTGAATCAGTAATTGCTGCTGAACATAACTCCTGGAGACTTGACTAATTTACAAGCCAACGCGGAGTCAAACAGACAAAGGGTTCCTCAACCCAATGCAAACCACAGGTTTCATTCCACGTGAATACTTTCTTGTTTAACCTTACTTTCCCTTCATTTTCGTAATGACCTGATGCAAGTAGATTAAAGAATTCCTGTTTCATAATCCTTGGGCCTTTCGTGCGTTCACATCTTATGTTACATAGATATATTTTAGCCATAGACATGCTATGGATTCAATTGTAAACCCATTATTGTAACTAGGAAGAAGAAGAATGTTCTCAAGGTAACTCTTCATGAAGCTTTTCCTATCCCACTGCTGTAACAGAGACAATTGACTCCAAACTTATAGCAGGGAGAGAGAAGTCCAGAAAAAAATCACCCACTTGCAGCCAATATCAGAACTGTCTCCATTTATCTGAAATACTTTTTTTGAGAAGAACTCCAATTCCCTTGCTTCAGAATTGTATCTGAATGCAAGGAAGATTATAGAACAACTTCTAAAATTAAACACGTTTTGTTAAATTTATAATCAGTTGAGTTTGGAATTTTCCATAACATCCAAATGTGGATTTACACAAAAACACCACTCATTTCAAGCGCGCTGAAAAGTTTTGTGATTAACAACTGTGTAAAAATCACAAAGTTAGACTGGACAGTTATTAACTTGCATTTATTAAATGATTTAAAAGTGGTGGGGATTAGCATGCTGAGGAAAATGAACACTGCGTAATTATCAGTTACTGTAACCCAACACTGATATTTTAGATATGCTCCATAATACCTCCTCCACTGATTTTCACTGTAGATCAAGGGAACATTTCACTGCCAATCAACCACCTAAACTGTGCAACACCATTTGCAGAGCACCTGGGTCAAGGCAAGCAACCATGAGAGTAAATAAATGACTGAATTAAGACAGGGGGAGAAAAGAGACAGAAATGAAAATAATCCTTTTGAACTATTAAGATTTAAGTACATTTGAATAGTGAATCAGATAACATGACACTGTCATGGCACAGTGGCAATATCCCTACCCCAGGAGGCCTGGTTCAAATACCATCTGCTCCAGAGGTGTGCAGTAGCATGTCTAAACAGGCTGATTAGAAAATAGGCTAAACTTTTAGAAATTTAAAAGCAAGATATCGTGAACGCACATCTTTTGGAGGAGGGTATCTTTGACAGAAACTTCCTAATTCCCACGATTAGTCAAGCGAGAGACTGCCAGAAGCTGTTGCCCAAATTTCCACACAGTTGGTAAGTGACTACTGTTATTCATGCTGTCATATCTACCGCTAAAATCAAGGCCAATGGCTTGTGTTAACATTTGTTATAAGTGACACTTGCTCCCTCTACTGGATAGTACATTCTATGGGCATTTTCACTGTATACCGGAAACAATTTAGGTTGTTGTATTCAAATCAAAGACATTCACATCAAATTCTTATAAGATATTATTCTAAAGTGCACAATTCCATTCATCACACATTCGAGAGTTAAAACTCTTCACCAATCTGTTCATAAGGAGGGGGAAATCGGACATGCATCATTTTGAAGCAAAATAATTTTATTCTGGCCAAGGTCTTCCAGACAACTGGGAGGCTGTGGCTGGGTGGGTGAGGCTTTGGGTGGTGAGACTGAGAAACTAGAATATGGAACGGTTTAAACTTTTTTTCGTTTTGAAGGTTTGTTGTGCAATTCTTTGAAAATAAAAGTCAAAAAGTTCAGGGAAAACTGTAGATTATCCACTATTTACTAGAAAAATAATTTAGGGAGAAGAATCCTGTGGAACTTTTGAGAATATCAAGAAATTAAGGATCATAAAATTAATTCCTTAACAATCAGACTTAGAAATATACTAGGACCTGCTCTGTTCACTAGTCTAAACATCTTTGTCCCACAACAGATTTGTGTTTCCACAGACCTGAATATGGATTTTGGAGAAGTTTGCCCGGAAAAGCACAGCACTGACTGTCTGCCTGCCTGTCTCTGTGTCTCTCTCTCTCTGTTCCCTACTGACAGGGGGAGAGAATTTAAAGGCAGTGGAAAGATCATTCAGCGAAGTATTCGTGAGAGTTCAAAGTTTCAAATAATAGGGTTTCTAAATTTTTCTTCATCTGAATCTGAAATCTGGTGTGAAGATCGTCCATCACTCTGTAATGGTTAGTAATTTGATCTTGTCAACAAGAAATCAATGAAACTGTGAGAACTCAACCTCAGTTCATACTCTTAACAGCACAGGTATATTGTTCCTGTTTTGATATTTGTTTTCAACAAACCCATATTGTCTTTGCAAAGCTGTATTGTCTTATCTGTATATTAAGTATGTTTGGGATTAAGGGCATATATTTAATTCTGAAGAGTAACTTAATTGTTGATCATTTTTGCTACTTGTTTAAAGAACAAATCTTGCATATAATAAATTAGTAATGCTCGAGTTCATTAAAGAAGCCCCATGAACTTTTCCTTTTAATTCGGGATAGTAGCACACAGATGTAAATTGACCATTTTGGTGATTCAACAAAATGTACACTTGTGTGAACATGGCTGGATAACTAGTGCACTCCCATTACAGCCATATCACAATTGGCAAAGATGGATAGGCATGGAGAAGATTTAGGGCATCAATAGTCTTAACTACTCAGCAGATTTATTTATAAGTACACATAGTTCCACTATAGCGCATTTCATTAATGCGAATTGGCTGTAACACAACTGATGAGTAGTGGACGTTGTTTGGATAACTCGAACTTTCTGCTGTACAGGTATTGCAATTTTCCTGTAACAATTTTCTACAGCAATCTTCTATAGCGCGATTTTCTACAGCACGAGGTCACACAAGAACACAACTATCGTGTTATATGAAAACTACCTGTACATTTTGCTGCCTCCGATACAGCTTCTGCAGTTAATTTCTTTCAGCCCAGGTTCCAAGGCTTGAATTAATAGTGTGAGTATACTAAAGATGATTTCTGGGCGAGTTCACAGTTTTAGGTCAAGCTGCCAATGGCAGGGTCAATACTGAAGGCATCCAAAAAGAAGTTGGAGTTAGATTCCTCTAATTCTAAGTTTGAAATGCATGGGCAATTACTACACATGTTCATGCAGCAGGACTTCCTCTGTGACAAGGGTGTGAAAGTTTGCCTTTAATTCCACTGGAAGATCTTGGCCTTTGCATTTTGAAAGCAAGCCATCATATCACTTAAGACACAAATAACCACATTCAATCACTGCCCTTATCTGCATATGTGGAATTATTTTCTCTCTCGGTCACTGGTTTCTTGTCTCTTATATGTCTAGACTTCTCTCTTTCAAGTAATGCCTTCCTTTTTCCTGTGTACTGCTTTCCCTCATTCCTTTACCAACTCCTGTGTCATTAAATAGGGAAAAAGTCTGGGAGCAGTCTTATAGGGTCTTAAGTGAAACGTCTAACTAACACAAAGACTGGCTACATCCAGAGCTGCATACAAAGCTTGATAAAACCAGATTTAGATAAATCTATGAAGTAGGGTGTCGAAACTAGAACTTAAAGAGTGGGAATTTAGTCTGTGAATGAGGACAAAGAGGTGCTGAGTTCCTTAAGCTTAGGGACAACAGTAAATACAATAAACAGCAATTAATTGGACATGGAAAAAAAAATTAAAATTTACTAACTAGAAGATACCAACTTTAAAATATGATCATAGTAGAATAAAATACAAATTAAGAAAATGTGCTGACCACGTAGTATGGCAAACTTCAACATGGGTGAAAAGCAGTCTGGAAAGGAAAGTAGAATCCGTCACTGTGGTCTAAACTGGACACCATAATATAATCACTGAGAAGTAACAATATGATTCACAGAGAAATATATTTAGAATCAGACAAAACATAGAAGTACATGGGATCAATACAAAGGAGATTCAAGCTAGATATGGCTTGCACACATATAATGCGCAAATCACAAAACTACAAGCCTCAGGAGCAAACAGCAACATGGAAATTTGATTCATTGGCGTCATTGAAATCCTGGGAAAGGGAGGGTGAACCCTTAATATTCTTGGGTAAAAGACATTCTGGAATAATTAGAAAGGGAAAAGGGATGGCAGTTTTGATTAAGGAAAAAAAAAAAAATAGGGCTAGAAAATGTCAAGGGGTCAGATAAAATAATTCTCGCTGAAGCTTCACTTAAAAAGAGAATCTATGACATTGTATGGTGTA